TACAGAATGAGTTTAATCAGAGAGTAAAGCTGCTCCAGTCTCCTGTGATGGTTGGGTTTAGGGGTGAGGTTGGGTAAGGGCAATATAATATACGGTTTGGACAGTATAAAATAAATGGAAACCTATGTAATGTCCCCACTTTTTACAAAAACAAACATGTGTGTGTCTGAGTACTGATCAAAAGGTAACATTTGATTCCAAACGAGTCTGAAACCGCGTGATTGGGCCAGATTTCCGATTACGTAATATATAGTACATTATATATATTTTGTGATGTGTTTATATTTTGTGATGTGGTGTTTGTGAAGTGTTTCCCAATTATTTACAGTTATGAATTGCATTAAAGGACCTTGAACTCTGCTCTGTCGACTCTTGATGTTGAAAATTTAACTCTACAGTTTAACAAAGTGAATTTTATTGACATTTGTTTCTTTGAGATAATATATAGAGAAATAGGTCTGTAAAATAACAGAAAATATACTGACAGCTTATTACAAAGCTGTTTAGCAGAATATATAACACCAACACGGACAATATATCACTTTAAACTATTAAAAATGGTAATAAAAGTCAATTTTTCCAACTTCTTAATCTTAAAAAAAGTTGTTGGAAGAAAGATCAAGAACCCATAATGCAATTTAAAAGCATAAATAAATAGGGAAAATCAACAAATGAATCTCAAAATACAGAAAGCTGCTAATTTACTGATATTTATTTACAGTGTCCATGTGCTTTCATGTATACAGTATCATATGCTCATATTGTTGGTGTAACCTCTACAAAAGGACAATAAAAAACATACTTGTTGACTATTAGATAGATTGCAAAGATTATAAAATTCAATCAACAGATCTACAAAACAACTTCATGTGCCTGATCTGACCCAAATTCACTGACGTTATCTAGATATCATGTGCAAACAGTCAACTTTTGTTTTTCCCATTCAAACATGTAATCAAAGTGTTGTGATGTCAAGTAATGACTGCAGTACAAAGACGCTGGTGGGGTGGAGGATGACAGAGACGTGCTGCGCTCTATAAGTACCAGTCACTGCAGAGAATGGCGCCTTGTGGCAGGCCATTTGTCTGTATTTATGTCATACCAAGCTGAGAGAGAGAGACACTGGAAACGCATTATAGGGCGTTGCCATTGTGTCACTCGTTCACACACATAACAGATGTGATGGACTCACGGTCACCGCAGAAGCTTTTGAAAACACACCTCTGTATTTTAGAACTGTTTCTAAAACTGTGCTTTTATTCTTCAAACTGAAATGTTTATTACATAGTTTTATTGTCATATCAGCTTCTCTGATGTCTCTCCAAAAGCTCATTAGAAACTGAGGCAGGCATTGACAGGGTGAGAGAGCATAGCATACAGATCTAGTGGTAATGATGCAGTAGGTGATTTGCCAAAATGGTGTCAGTTAGCATAACAGCTTTGAAAACACAGACCCTCCCCTGCTGTCTAAAGCTACTTAAAGATGACAGTAGACAACACGCTAGATCATGTCATTCCCCAATTTTTAAACTTCCTAGTGTTTATAATAGAGTGGAGAAACTATGACGTCAATTTTTATGCAAAAACCCGAAAGCGAGTTAGCAATTTAGCAGTTCTGGTTCCCTCGTCCCAAAGTCAATGGGTTTTTTCAATGGGATTTCAGTAAAATGGCTTAAATAAGGTTCATGGCTAACACAAACTCAAGATACTTTTATGTTTTATTCTACAACATAAAACACATCAGCTACATCTCACTCTTGATTTTTTAAATCGCTTATGCTTCTTTAAAAAGACGGTACTCTCAAGTTGCTAAATGGTACTACAGGTTGTGTCAGAGTTGCTTGCATTGGGAATTTGTGTTTGTCTGGTATTTAAGTATTTTCATAAATAGTATTTTATAGTTTGTAGTGTTTTTCTAACTGTTCTGACGTCACAGGCGAGCGCCCCGAGGGCTCTGTAGTCTGTTTATAGCCTAATGTTAGCTTTTTAGTTCTTGTGTTTGCATTTAAGATCCAAAAGTGCTCAAAGTTATATTTTCGTGTGAGGATTATCCGGCTGGACAAAACTTGTAAGTGGAATGAACTGTGTTTGAACACAGAGCTTATTATTCGCAATCTTCGAAAAGCCTATGGAAAAATCCTTTAGGGATTTTATCGAGGGAACCAGTTTTATGCTAGTAGTCGATTAGACAACAAGATGACTTCATAGTGTCTCCACTCTATACTACAATTCCAAATGAAAAACTGTATTACATCTAGCCCTTTTCAATTGTGTAGTTATCAAAAGTTGTCATAATGTGCAATATGTCACGCATGCAAGGATGACTCTTTTACACACTTTGTCCTAAAGCAACTACTGTATGCTTAGTGGTTGGCCGGTGGGATGCAGGAATTACACTTATAACGAAGCCATACTCACATGATTTTTCAGACTGAATAAGACAAAAAAAATCTACATCAGCTTTGCATTCCTAAAAATTGTTTTAAAGCATAGCATTACCTGTCTAAATGAAATACTTCAGCCATTGTAGCATGCTTCCTTCAGCGTGCAAAAGTAATTCCAATATTGATTCCGAATTTTAAAAAGTTTTAATTCAGCATTTGTTTGTGCTGCTGTCACTCTTTGGTGTGCACGTGAATGCGCGTGTGGATGTGCAAGCGGCGATTCTGACAACTGCGCAGATGTACAAATCTACATTTGTTGACAGACAGTTTAGGCTACTTATCAGAGTTATGGGAGTTATTGGCCAGACAAATTTTAATTAGACAAATATTTTAGTCTTCTTTTTAGCCTTCCCCAACATTATCAGACATGCTATAAAAATTTCCTTGCTCTATTAAACATAATTTAGGAAACATTTAAAAAAGAAAAAAATTCAAGGGGGGCTAATAATTCTGACTTCAACTGTATACATTTAGATCATTTAATTTAATCATTACTATTGGAACTATTGGAATGTGAAGAGACTTTCAACCAGCACAACAAAAGTTTTTATGAAGATCAACTTCTGCACTTTTAATGAGTTAATATTGAAACCCTAAAAAAAGTCTTTACAGGTAAAAAGACTTTTCACTCTTTCTTCGCCAGCATGTCTTTTTTTATTTTTTGCCAGCCATCATCAGCTTTTTTTGATTATTTTCACCCAAAGTTGATGGCCCCTGGAATATTTTCTGCTTGCAATCTTTTAAGCATAATATATATCAAAATAAAGAACCAGGCCTCTGCTTTTAAATAAAAAAAAGTATTTTCATTTACCACTATCTTCATGTTTTCATATTTTATTGCCTCTTGAATGAAAATCGGTTTCATTAAATACACAACCTTTTGGACAAAACAGAGAAAACTCCTATTTTTTACAGTACAATTTCAAGATATATAGTATATAATATAGTGTGCTTGTATGTGTGTTTACATTTGTTAAAACACATATATAGCGTCATCCAGATATACATGGATACAGGTCATTTTGGTGTGGTTGAGCCCTGTTAAAGAAAGGACTAAAGAAAAGCCAAATAAAGAAGGAAAGTTGTATACCTGTTCATTTTTACACACAATCTGATCTGCCTTACTCTTCTGCCTATAGGCACCGTTTTAAAAACACCTTGCATAAGCGCTAATTAGTTTTTCTTTTTTTGTGTGTGTAATTTGATGCAAACATTATATAATTCAAAATATAGCTTTATAAATGTACATGCACAAAAATCAAGATACTAAAATATTTGCTGATGTTGACCATCCTCTATACAGTATTTGTTTTTCTACTAAAGTTGCATTTGCTCAGTCAAGTTCATAAGATTATCCTTAACAATATCATATTTTTTAAATGATTTTTTTGTAACATGGGGGAACTAAAATAAAGTAGTATTTACAATATATATATTTATATATATATTTATATATATATATATATATATATATATAAATATATATATATATATATATATATATATAAATTTATTTAATTTACTGCTTTCAAACTGTTTAAGAATATAATAAGATTGACCTATAAAAAAACAAAATTTTTGATATCCAAACATTTCAGTCTGAGTCAGATCAAGACTTTTATCTTCTTTATTTCTAGAATTAGATGCCTATATTGTGTGTTCACAGACATAAAACACAATATCCTGTTTCATGTCAGCTCTTATGGCATACGGTCTATGAGTTCACTTATCCCGCCCCCATGCAGTCATTAATCTATGTCGATCAGCACTGACGTACATCGATGAATCTTTAAATTATACGGATTGCATTACACAATTCAACCTGTCCATTATCTGCCAGGGGAAAAGTAGCATCCCTGCTACTCGTCAGTGAGCAGTCGCAGACCCTCCCAGAGCCTGTGTGTGTGTGTGTGTGTGTGTGTGTGTGTGTGTGTGTGTGTGTGTGTGTGTGTGTGTGTGTGTGTGTGTGTGTGTGTGTGTGTGTGTGTGTGTGTGTGTGTGTGGTCAGTCAGGGAGTACCACCTGCTCGAACACCATCACACCATCCAGAGCTGTCTCACTCCTCTCCTCCTGGTGCTGATCCACTAAAGATTGTTTTTCCTTGCGAGTTGACACACAGCCAGGGAAGCGTTCAGCCATCTGGACAGTTCATATGTACAATTACTTGTGTCATATATTAGTTTGCGCAAGTGACAAGTTCTGTCCGATTAAATGCTATTAGATCCCATAATGGCTGCTATTACTTTACTGAAGACTAGGGATTTGTAGAAGAAAACCTTAATCTTAGATGGAATCCCCTTGCATATTTAAGCAGGTGTGTTCCCTAAAGCATCATTAGTCAACTGTTGTTCCAAGTTTAACATCGTTCAGTGATTAGTGATTGTGTTTCCCATAGTTCTAATGAACATTCAAAAAAAAAAGCATTGAAAACTTGAATTGCAAAGTGGATTAAATAAATGTCTATACCGTTTCTCTTGATTAAAAAAATATTGCTAATATTTGCAGCATGAATATACTAATATTAGCACTGACAGTGATTCTTCAATTCTGTTGCAGATTTTGGCTTTGGGAACTTTTTCCGTCCAGGGGAACCCCTGACAACTTGGTGCGGCAGCCCCCCTTATGCAGCTCCAGAGGTGTTTGAGGGGCAACAGTATGAGGGTCCACAATTGGACATCTGGGTGAGAGCATTGGTGTAGTGATAAAGTTTTTTTGGGGGGGGGCTTTTATTATGAATATATCATATTTAGCATGTAGAGCAGGGGTGTCAAAGAAGCTTTGTTGTGATAAAGCTATGACTTAAAAAATATATTTAATTTTATCAATATTACAATACACACCGCTACATCAAGGGTGCAGGGGTGTAATCTCAGAGCCTGGAGGGCCAGAGCCTTGCACAGTTTAGCTCCAACCCTGCTTCAACACATCTAGCTGTAGGTTTTAAAAAAGCCTGAAAAACTCAATTAGTGTGATCCAGTGTGTTTAATTAGGGTTGGAACTAAGCTGTGCAGAGCTGCGGCCCTCCAGGCTGTGAGTTTAACACCCCTGCACCCCTGATGTAGAGCCATGTATGGTAACTTTGATTGACATTGATTTAAAAAAAAAAAGGATTTATAAAGTCACAGCTTTATCCCTATACACATACAGTAGCTCACTCATGTAAATCACTTTATACTATAAAAGTTTGGTTAAAATGGAAACAACTTGTGAATTGTTCTTTTAAAAAATCAAGTTCTAGGCATGAGACGATAACCATTTTCAGGGTTTACCATCGTTTGGAAAAGTCATGGTTTTAAAACCGGCAAAACTGTATGTTATACCATTCCTACAGTACTGTATATGTACAGTTTTTTAATTATTATTTATCTACATGTTTTTTCCAACTATTTTATGTAGTTTTTTTAGGGCAACAGTATCTTTAGCTGAAAAGGACCCTCTACATCAAAAGCTACTGTTCTAAAATGTTTTAAATGTTTCTTAAAATAAAAAATTATTGTGTTCAATGGGGGAAATGTTTTTTTTTTTTTACTCAGACATTTAAAAACAACATATGAAAATGCTATTTATATTAAGAATAGGGCAATTTTTTTTTGCCCAAACTGATTATTTGAAATTATTTGTTTTCGTTTTTTTGATTGAAAGTTTAAAACTAAAAGTGCAATCCATAATGAAAGGCACTTTTGGACAAGGGCTGATATAAAACCATCATATAAACCAGTCATATAAAGCCATATGTGCTGTATAGTAAAACTGAACTGTTTGATTGTTTGTATTATTGCAAAATGTAAAGTAATTATCATTAAACTCTAAACTGCTAAATGCAACTACACTACCTGTCAAAAGTCCTGTCAACGATCCCAGTTGTCAGAGCAACACATAATAACTTGACTTAGTTGATCATTTGGAAAAGTGTAAGAAGTTGATTTTTTCAGATGAATCATCTGTTTAACTGCATCTTAATCATCACAAATACTGCAGAAGACCTATCGGAACCCGCATGGACCCAAGATTCTCACAGATATCAGTCAAATATGGTGAAGGAAAAATCATGGTTGGGGTTACATTCAGTATGGGGGTGTGCGAAAGAGTGGATGCAACATCAACAGCCTGAGGTATCAAGACATTTGTGCTGCCCATTACATTACAAACCACAGGAGAGGGCAAACTCTTCAGCAGGAGAACTCTCCTTCTCATACTTCAGCCTTCACATCAAAGTTCCTGAAAGCAAAGAAGGTCAGGGTGCTCCAGGATTGGCCACCCCAGTCACCAGACATGAACATAATTGAGCAAGTCTGTGGTAAATAAAGGAGACATTGAAGATGGAGTCCTGCAAGAACGTTTTCTTTGCCATTCCAGATGACTTTGTTAATAAGTTGTTTGAGTCATTGCAGAGATGTATGGATGCAGTCCTCCAAGCTCATGGGAGTCATACACAATATTCTTTTTCCATTGCACCATGACTTTATATTCCTTACTGTACATTATTTCTGTTAAGTGACAAAACTTTTGTCTAAACGAAGTCAGACCTTATTGACCTAATGAAATTAATAAAGAAATGTTCATATTTTATTTTGATAAAATAAGCGTAATCTAGAGGCCTTTGACTTTCATATAAGCCATTTCTGATACCAAATGAGCAACTAGAAGTCAAGTTATTATTTTTTGTTCCTAAAACTTGGATAGGCGACAAGACTTTTGTCAGGTAGTGTATACGGCATGAGGATATAAAGATATTCTAAACATTAACATCATGATTTTCTGTAAAACCGCTTTGCAACTATGTGTATTATGAAATGTACAATACAAATAAGTTTGAATTGAAACGATTTCTTTTTTAAGCAGGTTCTCATGCAGGTTGTTTTGCTGTTTGATACATGTATTCATAATCTTATTTTGGAATGTCAGATTAATATGTATACACTCTAGACAGCTGACAAAAGTCTTGCCAGTTTTTGGTTGTTTTCTGTCAGTCAGTACAGAGAGTTGCATCAGCAACTAATGGCAGTTCAACTGATTGAAAATATAATTATTATTTCCGGTATTGTGTGTGGGTGGTCATTTATGTCAGTTCCTAGGCAGAGTTTTATGTTTACGGATTGATTTTCTGTCCGTGTGTATGTGTGTCATGCAGAGTATGGGGGTGGTTTTGTACGTGTTAGTGTGCGGCGCTCTTCCATTTGATGGCCCTAGCCTTCCTGTCCTCAGACAGAGGGTCCTTGAGGGTCGTTTCCGCATCCCATACTTCATGAGCGAGGGTGAGCAAATCACAGTACCACAATTTCATGACTGTTCACACAATTCTAAAGTTGCTATGAAGGCAATAGTCATTTAATAGCCACCCTGTGTCACAAATTCCCCTTTCAGACTGCGAGCACCTGATCAGGAAGATGTTGGTTCTAGATCCAGCCAGGCGTTTGTCTCTGAGTCAGATTAAAGAGCATCGCTGGATGGTGCAGGAGGTCCCGTCCCAGCGGCCTGTGCTCTACAGACAGGGTTTGCCCTGTGAAAGTAAATCAGGTTTGGGGGAGCACAGTGAGCAGGTGCTTCGCCTCATGCACAGCCTGGGAATTGACCAGCAGAAGACCATTGAGGTCAGTTGATCAGCTTTAACTTAGTTGGCTCAATTCCTGAATTTTAGCTGGTTTTGAATTAAAGCTGCAAAGAGGCTGTAGAACTGTTATCATCTTTTGAGTTTAGCTAAGTAAAATTAAACTGCAAAGTGGTAAGTCTTTACAGGTTTTTGTTGTATTTGATAACATCTGTCAGTGTTGGAATAGGATAATAGTTCAGACAGGATCTATAACACACTTCTGTAAGAAACAAACTATACAAAGCATTATTAAATGCAGGACAGGCTGCAGAATCAAACTACTCCATTCATTCATTTTCTTTTCGGCTTAGTCTCTTTATTAATTCATGGTCGCCACAGCGGAATGAACAGCTAACTTATCCATCACGTTTTTACGCAGCGGATGCCCTTTCAGCCACAACCCATCTCTGGGAAATCAAACAACTGACTTAAAATTAAATTTCTGCTATTAATTACGCTCCAATCTCCTGATATCATTTATAATCATAAATCCATATACAGCAACGGTCCACAAAAGACATCCAAAAAATTTCCATGTGACTTCAGTGGTTCAACTGTAATCACACGAAGCTCCAAGAACATATTCGTTCACCAGAAACTGTAAAAAGGACTTTGTTTACCTATGTCTTCTGCATCAAATTAGTGTTTGTGTGTTTACTACGGGCAATATTGCATGTCATGCTGCGGACTGTAATAGGAAATATATCATACTGCCCATAGTAAATGCTCACCCTTACCTGTTGCATAAGTGTGCATAAGATTAAGGTAACAAAATCATTTTTAAAGCAGACAAAAAATATCTTTGTGCTCGGGACCTATAGAGGATGAGGGAGCTCTTAAATTTGTTCTAAAATAACTTCATTTGTGTTCTGAAGATGAATGAAGATATTGGAAAAGATGAGGGGGGGTCATTTTCATATTTTCAGGTGAATCAACCTCTTAATTATAACCTGAATCAACAAAAACAACCAAATTAAAGGAGCATTAAATAAGTCATGATAAGTAACTTTATCAGACAAAATGTGAAACAATAACAGTAATCATAGCAACAAATGAGAACATATGTTTACAAAAAGGTGTATTAAAAATGATCTTGTTTTTCCTTTTGTTGTAAGATTATTTTTCTTACCCCACTGGCAGATTATTTAGCTTGTTTAAAGGGAAAACTAACTTTAAGTTGGCATATTATTTCTTAAATACAATATAAAAAACAGAACAAGACAAAAAAATCTAAGAAAAGCATTTTTGCTGGAATGGATGGATGGATGGATGGATGGATGGATAGGTGTATGAAAGGATGGATAGATGGATGGATGGATGGATGGATGGATGAAAAGATGGATGGGTGGATGAAAGGATGGATGGATGGATGGAGGGATGGATGAAAGGATGGATGAAAGGATGGATGGATGAAAGGATGGATGGATGGATGAAAGGATGGATGGATGGATGGTGATGGATGGATAAATTGGATAGATAGATTAAATTGAAATGTCCTGTGGATGAGGCCAGCTGAATCCTTCAGTTGTGAACTCTTCATTTTATTTGTTTGTTTGTTTCTAAAAATAATTTCTCCCCAGAACTGCAAATTTGATTTTCCCTGAGAGCAGCCTTTCAGATTATTTTCAAAACGTCCTTGTAAAAACTCAACATTGCTGCTGTTCTCTTTCCGCTCTCTCTCTCTTCAAAAACTCTCGTCTCTCCCGTCACAGTCTCTCCAGAACAAAAGCTATAACCACTTTGCTGCTATCTACTACCTGCTGGTGGAGCGGTTGAAGGCGCATCGCAGCAGTTTCCCTGTGGAACAGCGTTTGCACGCCAGCCAGCGCCGCCCCAGCACCGTCGCCGAGCAGACTGTTGTCAAGGTAACCCCATCTGTGAAGTCTACCCAGACATATTGAAACGGCGTTAGTATAAAAATGTAAATATTGGAATCCAGAGGAATAAAATCTGTAATCCAGCCATCAATCGCTCAGTTTAACTTCCACGACCACATGCTGGGGGTTCATTGCTTGTATACTGAGAGACCTTTAAGGAGAACTTTTTAGATGACAAAATCCTGCAGTATGAGATTGTAATTCCATGGTGCTATGATATACAGTTGAAGTCAGAATTATTATCTCTCCTGAATTATTAGCCCCTGCTGTATATTTTTTTCCTCAATTTTTGTTTACATAATAGTTTTAATAACTCATTTCTAATAACTGATGTATTTTACCTTAGCCATGATGACTATATAAATAATATTTGACTATATATTTTTCTAGATTCTAGTATTCAGCTTAAAGTGACATTTAAAGGCTTAACTGGGGTAACTGGGCAGGTTTGTTCTGTAGACAATCAAAAAAAAATCCTTAAGGGGGCAAATAATTTTGACCTTAAAATGTTTTTTTTTTTAAATTTAAAACCGTTTTTATTCTAGCCAAAATAGAACAAATTAGACTTTCTGTATAAAATATTAAAGGAAATACTGTGAAAAAGTCCTCGCTCTGTTAAACATCATTCCGAGTCCGAAGGCTGTCATTTTCTGCTAAAAAGCATATGCTGTCATTGAAAGACCAGATTTGTATTTAATAGAAAGTTGATGTTTTTTCTTGTCGTTTTTTTATCAGAATAAATTTAGAGAAATGTTTGGAGTTTTTTTTTTGTGTGTGTTTGTTTTTTTAAATATAAGTTTTAATTTAAGTGACATCAATAACCAAGTGGTATGTTGTCCACAATGAGTTTACTCAATTTAAGCCAGTGGGGCCAGCAGTCATTGTCACTGTGTATACCTACCATGAGAATTAATGTGAATTAATGCCGCTTACTTATTTATTTAAATTGATTATTAAATAGTATACACTATGATAAATTGACAAAGCAAGAAAGAATTAGGATAAATAAAGGTGTATGTTAGTGTGTTTTAAAGTGTGTATGTATTTGCATGTTTGGAGATGGGTAAAGAAATCTATTGTCTTTAGTTTTGCTGGCTTTTTTTTTTGCACACACAAAAACAATTCAGATGCAGTTGAAGTCAGAATTATTAAACCCCCTGAATTATTAGCTGACCTGTTTATTTTTTACCCAATTTCCGTTTAACAGATAGCAGACTTTTTCAAAACATTTCTAAACATAATAGTTTTATTAACTTATTTCTAATAACTGATTTATTTTATCAGTTGATAGTTGATAGCCATGATGATAGTAAATTATATTTTACTAGATATTTTTCAAGACACTTCTATACAGCTTAAAGTGACATTTAAAGGCTTAACTAGGTTAATTTGGTTAACTAGGCAGGTTAGGGGAATTAGGCAAGTGATTGTATAACAATGGTTTGTTCTGTAGACTATTGTAAAAAATATAGCTTAAAGGGGCTAATAATTTTGACCATAAAATGTTTTTTTTTTTTAAACTGCTTTTATTCTAGCCAAGCAAACAAATAAGACCTGGAACACATGCTATAGATCGAAACCTGACATGGTTGCTAGCCATGACATGGCCCAAAGACTGGCCATAGGACATAAAAATTCAGACCCGGACAGGCTCATGTTCAAATGCAGAGCTCTAATAATCACCCTATGGTAGTAATAGTCAAATGAGATAAAGTACTTAAATCATTGCACCATCCAAATAACAGTAACAATAATTTAAATAGTAATGAATATTTTTTATTTTATATGAGTGCTATCTTATTTCACTAACAGTTATATTTACTGTACTGTGATATTCTTATGTGCCTACAGACAATTGCGGTTCCCTCTCAAGCGGGCGTCCCCCCTCAGGCAGCGCGTCAACTGCGTTCACCTGTTTTGCTGCAGTCCACCGCAGAAACCTTTACCTTCCCACAAAGCCCTGCTTCCCCAGATCAGACGCTCATGGAGGAAGACGTGGCTACTCCTAAGGTCAGTTACGGTCAAAACAAGGAGTTATTAAATGGATTCTTCCTGCACAGAGAGGAATCTCTCATTCTCCTTTCGGGCTTGAGGCTGTATTTCATAAGCTCTGCCTGCATGTTTTAAATAGCAGCGTTACTCATTGGCGCTGCTGTATGACGGCAGTAAGAGCTTTTGTCTGCAGCGTGTGAAGTTCCTCTGCCTGCGTGTCAGCCTGATCTCCTCCTCATTACTCACCCGCAGAATCGCAGCAGCCTCCTAAAATAACACCTGCATATATATTTATTAATAATACAAAAAAAATAAAAACTGCTCTATGATTTGAGCGCCGGGTGTCAACGCTGGGGCTTTGCGTCAGTGTAGGTTTCTCAAGCGCTTCTTGCTTCTCATTCATAAATGAATGAGTCAGAACAGAGGCAGCAGAATTGATATGATATCTGAGGCCAGGCGATACGGCATGTACTGCACAACACCAGGAATGTGTCAAATGGCAGAGATTTTTTTCTACCATTTATGCCGTGGAAGAGTGTGTGGCCCTCAGAGGTGTTCATACTTAAGAGCCATGAAGGAATGTGACACATTGAAATGTGTGTTTTGTGGTATTTAATCCATGTCAAGTAGCTTTGAGGCCACATACAGTCTAAACTATTAGCCCCCCTGTAAATTTTCCCCAATTTCTGTTTAACAGAGAGAAGATTTTTTTTCCAACTAATTTCTAAACATAATGTTTAATAACCATATTTATTATTATTATTATTATTATTATTATTATTATTATTATTATTATTATTATTATTATTATTATTATTATTATTATTATATTATAACAATATTTAATAATAATAATTTAATTTCTAATAACTGACTTGGTCATTATGACAGATCATGTCTACTAGATATTAAAGGGCCTGCTTAAACGGCAGTTTAAAGGCTTAACTAGATTAGAGTAATTAGGCAAGTATGAACACCTCTGAGGGCCACACACTCTTCCACGGCATAAATGGTAGAAAAAAATCTCTGCCATTTGACATTAGACAAAGTTAGAGTAATTAGGCAAATCATTGTATTGTATTAACAGTTGTTTTTACTGTTGACATTAGAAGAAAAGATATGGGGCTTAATGGGACAAATAACACTGACCTTAAAATGGTTTTAAAAACTGCTTTAATTCTAGCTGAAATAAAACAAAAAAGAATTTCTTCAGAAGATAAAATATTATCAGACATGCTGTGATAAATTCCTTGCTCTGTTAAATGTCTTTTGGAAAATATTTGAAAAAGGAAAAAGAAATTACAGGAGGGCTAATTATTGTAATGGTGTTTATAATATCAATTATCATTAAATATGCAGTTATTTCACTTAATTCATGCAATAATTGCAATACTACAACAATAAAATTAACAGCTGGATAATGTACTTATTTTGTTCCTTAAAGGTGTGGTCCAGAGTGTATTTTTTTAAGGCTTGGTTGTGAAAACGAATGTCATTTCCTAGTTCCTTCGAAAGGCCTGCCCTCAAGAGGCTCTGATTGGTCAGCTAACATAATGTGCTGTAATTCACGGATCAACTCTACGTTACCAGGAAAAGCGTAACGCCCCTACAAGCATGTGCTTTTGCATAGTGCCTGAGTTCAGTCAGAGTACCTGTTAGCCGTATCAGACAGAAAATAAAGAGGTCACAGCTGAACCTCATGCATGCTCTCTAAAATAAAACCTAACTAGTGTCTTTCACATGTATATTCGCAAAGCATGTGTAAGTAATATGAAACGTTCACATATCTTTTGCGAGTTCCTTATTTAAGATGTAGAACGCAAAGCGAGTGCATAGAGAGACACTGCGGCGCTGCTGAAAATTTTGGTGTTTACAGGGGTTTGACAGATGAATATAGATTTGTAGCTAATTGTTAACGGTGCCAAACTGCATTTCCCATTGTTTACATATTTGTTTTACGTCCTCGCTACAACTTACCGTTAGCGCTAGAAACTATGCATGTAATAAATCAATTTCAACAAATAAAAAATACTTACAGGTTTTGGCGCTCAATCCACATCTTTTGCTATTGTGGTTGGAGCTGCTCCTTCTTTGAGGAGTTTTTAGCCGAATCTAGGACTGAACTGGGAGAGATTCTGAAAGCTGTGCTTTGCCAAATGCTAGAGCTATATATTTTTTATAATTTACTGGAATATAATTAAAATTCAATTGTAAGCTCTTTTCTCTTTGTGTCATGTCAGAACAAGGTCTGTGGAATGTGTCATTTTAGCATTCTCTGCTACATTACAGCATTACAGCGCCTCTTGCCATGTCCCTTCGCTGTGCTGGGTGTATGCATGTGGGGATGCACATAACCTGCAGCGTTTGTGATCTCATTAACCCGGATGTAATTTTTTTGTAGTCCTCAAAATTTGTTCGCTTTAGGCTTTGCTGAGCTAACTTTGCAAAAGCCAATGTCTCCCTTTGCATTGAACTTTGAATGTATTACACTCAGATATGTTGTTTATATTCACACAGCTACATTACACATGAACTAAAGTTTAAATATGATATCGTAGTGGACCGCCCCCTTAAATGTTCAATGAAATGAACTTACTTCATTTCATTTAATTAAAGTAAAATAAAAATTATGCATTGTCCAAATAATTAATATAATTGTAATTATTAAAAACTATCAGGATTCTATCAGGGTGGAGAACTTATGATAATCTTCATACTTAAGACAATATGAAGACTTCAGATGCAAAAAAAAGCATTTTTCTCAGGTTCTTGTGTGTAGATTTGATTTTCACATGTATGGCAAAAACAAAGGTTCTTTTCATTCTTTTTAAAGTTTAAATACTAAACATAAACATATGAGGCTAACTAAAAAGTCATTTTAGAAAATTTCTTTTTAGAGTCATCTGAGCTCATATAAACCATTTTTTAAAGAATTTCAAGAATAAAAACTATTATGCAATATAATAACACTCCATGTCATAAGATTTTTGATCATGTGGCCCACCATTATTGATCATCGCATGAGGAAACGGCCTGCATTTCAGCTCCCTCTTATTTGCAGCCTGTTGTTACAGTAACTCCAGCATGTGAGGTTTGCAGTTACACAACACCATGGCCCTGTTTTTGTAAATGCCCCTGATGTGCCACCATGTGATGAGAACGGGTGCTCACTCCACTCATGGGAAGCGTGACAACAACATTTGTCACCTTCACTGTCGCAAGGCAATCTCCATAGCTACTGCTCCTTTAGCTGACGTGCTGCGTTGACTCATTCTGAAGGGACTCTGTTATGTACAGCGCCGTCCACTAATATTGGCACACTTTATAAATATGAGCAAAGAACACTAAATGTCGGTATTGTTTAAAGGGGTGGTCCACTATATGATATCATATTTTAAACTTTAGTTGATGTGTAATTTAGCTGTGTGAACTGAAACAGCATCTCTGAATGTAAAATGCTCAAAGTTCAATGCAAAGGGAGACCTTGGTATTTACAGTTAGCTTGGCAAAGTCTACAATGAACGAATTTTGGGGACTACAAAAAAATACTTCCGGGTCTTGTGAGATCACAAAAGTACTTTTACCGTGCACACACACTGCGCAATTAAGGGGCGTCGCCAGAGGCACTGTAACATTACAGCAGAGAGAGAAAATGCCATCCTGCTATTTCCACAGAGATTCTCTGTTTCTGTATTTGGGCTCCCAAATACAGAAGCCCAACCTAATTGTATGTTACATAAGAAATCATAATGAGAGTGAGTATAGGTTGCTTTTAAAAAGTTTTGCTGACTGGTGTGAAACAAATTGTCTTAAATTAAACACTAATAAAACCAAAGAAATTATTGTTGATTTTAGTAGACATCCATCACAAGCTGTGCCAGTAATTATACACGAGTCCGAAATTGAGATTGTTTCATCATATAGGTGCCTGAGTGTATATTTGAGCAACAAGCTCGATTGGTCTGAAAATACAACTCAGGTGTTTAAGAAGGGTCATTCATTTATTAAGACGACTGAGGTCCTTTGGTGTTTGTCAGACACTGTTAAAATTATTTTATGATTCTGTGGTGTCTTCTGTGATTCTGTATGCTGTAACCTGCTGGGGAGGGGGACTGTTGGAAAAGGAGAAAAACAAATTAAATAAGCATTTAAAAAGGTCAGGTTCTTTTGTGGGATGTGCACTACCTACCATAGAAGAGATTGCACATGATCGAATGCTGGACAAATTTGGTCAGTATAATGAACCATGATAGTCATACCCTTTTTGAAACAGCCTAAGCGTGTGCAAGCTCTTTTAGTACAAGATTAATTCAACCTCGCTGCTGCAGAGAAAGATACAGGAAGTCTTTTTTTTACCAACAGTGATCAGATTGTATAACCAAAGTCATACCAGATGAATTGTGCTGAACTGAATTAGATATTAGATATGGACAAGTGTTTACTCGTTGTATTTGGAACCAAAGTGTGCAGTATGAAATGTAATTTTATTATTGTTTTTATATGTATATGTAACTTATTTATCTATTTTTAGGATAAAGAGTTCTGCTGTGACATGTGATTTTCCCTTTGGGAAATAATGAAGTCAAAGTCTCAGTTCCAAAGGACACGACACAAAGACAGATGTGCTTACAGTTCAATATTAATTATGTTCCAGAGAATTATAAAATACTTAGCAAGCATGATTTGGCAAAACAGCTTCCAAAATCTGTCCTAGTTCATTGCTGGATTCGGTTAAAATCTCCTCAAAGAAGGAGCAGCAACAAGCAGACGCTGTGAACTCTGAGCCACGACCTATAAGTGTTTTTATTTGTTAAAATTGATTATGACATGCACAGTGCCTTAACGGTATGTTGTAGCAAAGATGTAAACAACAGGAAATGCTGTTGACCACTGCTAACGATTTAGCTACAAATCCATATTTATCAGTCAAACTGCTATAAACACACACACACACACTTTGCCGGCGCATGCAGCCTCTCTCTCTCTATGCGTGTGCACGACTTTGCATTGTTTCTCTA